TATTCATTCAATTAATTAGTTTCTAAATTTAGGTATTAACATTTAATAAGATGGATTTCTTAATTTTGAATTAGATTTTCATTAAATGAAACAACATCATTTAAAGTTAGGATTCCAATTTTTTTTTAGAATTAAAATTGAAATGCACTTTTTATATATATATATATATATAGAAGATAATGCATATTAATCTTGACTCTTAAAAAAATTTAGAATCTCAACCTCAAATGACATCGATTTATTTAATTAAAACTTAATTTAAAATTCATAAATTAATCTACCTTATGAAATATTGATACATGCAAATAGAAACCAAAAATTCAATTTAAAATTTAAAAATCTACCCTATTAAATATATAATCAGTTTTTAAATTCATATATCAATATTTTATAATATAATAGAGTTTTGAGTTTTAAATTGAACTTTAATTAAATAAAACAACTCATTAGGACTTTAAATATTTTTTAGAAATCAAGACTGGTGTATATTATTAACATATAGATATATTCCAAAGAAAATTAAATAAGACGGTTTACTTGAGATATCTTATTGATTTTTAAAGTTTTTATATTTTGAAAATTTATACGATATTTTAATATATCTTAGATATATGAAGCATAAATTCTAAATATTGCTTAACATCTATAATTTTATGAAACAAATTAATGCAGTCAGTGAAAGCCATTGTTCCATGGTCGTACAAAAAACAAAAAAATATTGGCGAAGAAACTCCATTCCAAGTGTTCGCTAGAGAACACAAGGATTTATTAAAGGAAGCTGAAGAGTGGATGAAGAAAACGGCAGAATCTTCTACAGTCGTAGGTGCACTCATCATAACTATTATGTTTGCCGCGGCTTTTACTGTTCCTGGTGGTAATGATCAAAATACTGGCTTCCCCATATTTTTGAACTCAACGGGTGAACCTTCTACACCGGTACCTTTCACGGTATTTATGGTATCAGATGCAGTTTCTCTTTTTACTGCATCTGGTTCAGTGTTAATGTTTTTGGGGATCCTCACTCCACGTTATGGTTATCAAGATTTTCTAATATCCTTACCCCTTAAGTTGATGATTGGTGCGTGTTCACTCTTCATCTCCATTGTAACAATGGCGGTGGCATTTTGTACTTCTCTTTTTATTATGTTAAAAGGTCGATTGGTGGTCTTCATTCCAATAACTTTGCTTGCTGGCCTTCCTGTCATTCTCTTTATGTTGGTGCAGTCTCAACTTGTTTTTGAGATTTATTCTTCGACCTGTAGATCACACCTCTTCGGTCCGTCCTTTGCAACCCTACTAGGGAAATATGTCTGGTCGCGGTTACTTATAAGTAGACTGTTCATAAGAAGGCCGAGAGATAATTAGTTAAGGTTATGTAAATATATATTTTTTATTTTGCCATAACTCAAGTGGTTTGGAGGATTGTAATATTCTATACATGTTGTAGTTACAATGAATATCTGGTGGATGCACATTGTTTCCGTATTTTATAATTCTGTGTCAAATTCTTCTTTGCTAATATTGTGTTTTCATTGCTGATTCATTCTTCCACACCAAGCTACAAATTTATGAAATTTTTGTATATTTGATGCTATCAAGAAAACACATCAGGCAGCGCCTAGCCTTAGGGCTCAAAGCTGTGGGTTTGAACTCCCTCCTCTCTCTCCTTAATATACCCAGAAAGAAAAATCCAAAGTGATTCCAATTTAGACCCACTAATTCATTGGTGTGGCTGATATTTTTAGAAAAGGTAATTATATTATTTTCAAAATTTTCCTTAATTACATATCATAATTATAAATTTATAATGATATTGTAGTTATATTATTTTTAAAAATTCTCCTAATTCAAATTTTCAAGAACTCAGCTAAAAACTTATTTTATAATTAATATTTATAAAAATTAACTATTAAACTAAATATTTTATTTATATAAGTAAGGGCACAAATAACTACCACTAAATCAAATAGCTAAATCACATCGGCATGTTG